CAAAATACCAGTTATTTTAGATAACCGATGATTCTAATTAATTTAGTTAATTAGTAATTATTAAAAAATCATTATCGGTAATTCTAAATTGATTAATTATAAAACATCTTTTCCAAATTTAGCAATCCTATTCTGGAGAAATTACCTATTCAAAGGTTTTTCCTAACATATTTCCATCCAATTATATGAAATTGGTTTTAGATAGTTTAATTTTGAGTTAGATTGAATTTTTACGCAACTCAATCCATAAATTGAATTCAAATCTTAAAGTTATGCTATGAAATAAATGTTCCATGAGTGTTGATAGCTATTTTTAATACAAACCCCATGAATTAAATAAAAAGAAACATAAAGAATAAAATTATAATGTATATAAAATGTTTTTAATTAAATTTTTCAATTTAGAATTTACGATAACTAAGCAATATCCAAAATAGTCATCAATTATCCCTTAGGATCTAATTTCAAATCTTAAAACAAATAATGCAAATAGAAAACCATCAAAAGAGTATGTTCTTTGAATGCTTGCAGAACATTCCCAATTTAAAAACCTGCATCGCTGTATAAAATGTTATTATTATTCATCACTGCTAGCTTATAAATCTTTACTCTAAGCACAAACCCAACATTTATGGTTAGTAGTTTTGGATGTACAGCATATAGTTTTGTAAAAAGAGAATCATATCATTGGAAGATCATAAATACATTACTTTAGTGTTTTTAATTTATTTACAGTCAAACTAACTGAGTTTTGATTGCTAATGATGCTAACATTGTGTTGTAATCTTGAATCCAAATTATGGATACTGCTATTTTGAAAACTTGCTGGACCAATACATTTTGATTTTTGCAGGTCAACAAAGTCTGAAATTGACATGTTCATTGAGCACCACTCAAAAGAATTGCTTCTGCGCTTTATTGGAAATCTAACTAACCTAAAGTAGGTTTTGGAAAGATTATGTGACTCATTATTGCAAACTTCCAAACCTTGAGTTAGAAATACAGAAGACACTTTAAGGTGAAGTTACAATATTACAATCTATAATGCGCCTTTAAGAGGCAGCAACTAATTATTGTTGTAAACATTATCTTGTTGCTAATGCTCTTATTTTTATTCCCAATATAACTGTAACAAAATAGGATTTTGCTCCTACTACACCAACTACCAAATCACCTGTTCATCATTAAAACTTGATACTGGAACTAAAAGAATAGTTTTTTTCAATTCACAAGTTGCTCCTTATTACTAACTGCAAATAATCAATAGAATTGTTTTTTTATGAAATGAAGTGACCTTAGATTATTCTAGGGAAGGATCTACTAATAAAATGCTTTATAACAATAAAGTGATATGTGAGATAAGGAATATACTCTACGTTCAATTAATAATCATTATACTCTATTAATCTAACATATATGTTTAATAATTAAATTTATTACTCTCTAACTGATATAATCTTGTACTTGAAATATTAAATATACATTAGCAAATTGTTCATGAAATGGCTAATCAAATTTTCATTCAATTTCAGATTATTAAATCAAGAGAAAATTTAAATTAGGCTAAGATATTACTATCTTGTGCTTATGATTTTAAATCGATATAATTCTATTTAAAGTATAATTCCAGGCTAAAGCTTCATATAAGTAAGAAATTGAATAATGGGCTTTGGATAAACTTTCTGTTCTTGAAATTTGACTGAGTTTCTGGAATTCAAACTCAGTAAAGTGTTTTACTTTTTGAATTATTATAATATCAATTTATAAATATTATGCATTCATTATTTTATGTCAAATTCTTTCAGAATCATCAGGAGATTAAACAACTATATAGGTTGACAAGTGTAAAAATAAGTAAATAAATTATTGAAAAGAAGAATAATCAATTGGAATAATTAGCAGAGAAATTAAGGTTAAACTATATTATTTTATGAACATCTATAAATATATTGGTAATGATCGTCGTAGGTCGTAGGAACAAAATAGAATTTAATAATTTCACTCTAATGTCCCTTTACAAGTAATTTGCAAGTTATAATTTTAAGTATTTTTTAATTTCATATTATATTAAAATGAAGGGTGAACTAATACTTATTCTTTACATTTTCATAATATAGGCTACCGAATAGGAATGCCAGATATCAATTTCGGAATAAAAATCAATATTAAAGAGAGATTTCAAGAATGTACTATAAAAATAAGCTGGAGCATTGATTTCAGAAGCAAGATAAAATTTTTTTTCTTTTGGAAATCTTGGTTCTTGCTTAAAGGATGATCCATATTCTATTTTTGCAGATGGAGTGCCTTATACCAATTGTAAAATAGGCAAAAAAATTTCGATAACATTAATGTAAAAATATTTATTGAATACATTGAAACTTTGGTTTTGGGATTTAGGCTATATTTTCAGTGAAGACATAAGATATTATACAATAATTGTTTATACTGTGTTGAATGGAGTTCAAACCAAAATTTATGATAGTAATTTAGCAACTTCAATAGTCAAGATAAAATTTGATGAATAACAAGTTGAAAGATTTGATGTACTAAATGTAGGAGGGAATACATACTATCGAAATAATTTGGACATCATAAAAGCTGATGCATATTATTCATTTTCATGAATTTTTTATTATATGTTTCTTAATTCTATATTTGCACTCTAAAAATAGTTCCCTTTAATTAAATAAGATCAAGGTCGTATTTGAATTGAATATAATTGGTTACTGTAAATTAATAAGAAGAAAATTTCACCTGTAGGAAAACATCAAATATCTATAAATTAGAGTATCGACTACGAATATTATTTCAAACTATTAAAATAACTTGTACGAATTATTGTGGAAGGAGTAATCTTTTGAAACTAACAAGTATAATTAATTATGATTAGCAAATGAAAATTATCGATATTAAATGTGAACAATTAATTTACATCGCATTCCAAAATGAATTTGGTCCTTAAAGTAAAAGATTTCCAATAATGATAGAATTCTTCATAGGTATTAAAATAATAATTATGTTTTTTGTATATTTAAATACATCATTCCATCTAATCTTGCACGAAAAAATTATTTATTGCACAAGATTTGTGTGCTGCTCAAATATCTTTCAACAAGCTTTAACATTCTTTTTGCCTAAGTCATATCAATTCGCCTAGAGCCTATACTATTTTCTTAAAAGTATGAGGAAAGATGACAAAAATTATTAAATTCTACTTTACCAAAGGATCACTTTGACATATATTTTAAGAACTATGATGAAATTTGAATTAAGTTTAATTAGACTAAACTAAATTCCACATTTTTTTAATGGATCGAACTTAATTTTAGGTTCCTTAGCTTAGTTGAATAGAAGCAGTGAATCAAAATCTCTCAATATTACATTTTCCATTGCTATTCATTAAATTAAAATTCAAAAAATAATTAATTATTTTATAGGTCTATCATTCTAACTCTAGTAAGATACGCTTATCACATGATATTGCATGGAGGATTTCTATTTTAGGTGGGGCTAAGATGATAGAGCTCATTATTTTAAACTACACTCCTAAACAATAATTTATATTAGCCATCACAATAATGTGAGTCTTTTTAACATTTTATTAATTATAATTTAATATGCAAATAGAGCACTAAACAATATGTAGTTAGTGAAAATGGTCCCAATATATCTATTTCTGGTTATGAATAAATTTTCTTAGTTTTCAATTTTCATATTTGTCCAGTTTGGGCTACTTTCATAATCAGCTCACCCTCTTTTCAGGACTAATTATATAAGCACAGCATATTAGAATCTGACTAATGAACTAGCGGGCA